CCAAATTTAGTGCTAAATGCGGCTTCCATTCTCACTTCGTGTTGACGTTAAACGCATTTATCATGATACGCAAATAAAATACAAAATCGAGTGTGGTGCACGCTATGTGTAATGTGCTATGTTGAAAGGAGTAGTGAATGTGTAAGTTTTTTCTAATACAGTTACTTTTAACCGTGCAAGCTGATATCGTACTTTAAATGCAACAACGCACGTTAATTTATTTACATTTATTTAAAATTATGATGTATAATACATCAATTTTATAATACAATTTAATAATACAATAAAATAATATATCAAAATTATATAGATATATTATATTGTATCTAAAGATAATTTTTTCTTGGCGGATAAGTAAACGGCTGGATAATGGTTTGTCTTTAATTCTCTTTTCTTTTACGGAACGTACTTTTGCACCGTTCTTCAGGATATCATCTTTTCTTCTTATCTCATTCGTTAACTCTATAAAAAATTGAAGTGCTTAAGTAGATTTAAATATAAAGATGAAATAAATTAAAATTCTTTAACACGTAAATTCAATTAGTTTTATCTCTTATTATCTTATAATCTGATATATAATCTAACATATGTATATATATTAAATGTATATATATATATATATTTTATATGAGATATATATATATATGATATATATATGTATATTAACATTTATAATAAGATTTTGCTATTTACATATATATCACAAAATTTATTAAAGATCTTATATATCATAAAAGTCTTTATATATTGTAGATGTTTATAACTAAACGGCTATTAATATTTTGATAATAAGATAATTTTTATTTTTTTTTATTTTTGTCGCTAATGCGTGGTAAACTGTTGTGACCCAATTTTCTAAGAATCGATAACTAAAATTTCTACGCAGATCGTGATTATATGATCATACGACTAATATTAGATTAAAAAAGGAATAATAAACTTCAATATTCAAACGAGTTGACGTGGCATTACAAATTACATACTAACAAAACGTTTTTGTAGCTCAAGTACCTTACTGCTTAGTCCAAGGGCAATATTGCGATCAAAGGGCCGGTTTTGCACTCAATGGTTTTCGCCGCACATAAATCTTGCCGTTTGTTCACCCGACCGTAGAATCGTACAAGGAAGGTCAGAGGTTAAAGTAATCGCTGATTGTCGCTAGTCACCGCAATATCTATCTTCCTTTCCTTAAATTACGATAATTGTAACCGAAAGATTCGAATCAATCAGTTATACAATAATGTAAGTGCATAACTTAAAAAATAAATTTATTAATTTATTATGTAACAAGTTTTATAATAACAATGCGTCTTTGAGTAGCGTATTTGGTCAAAAATTGCTTTTCCTAATTATATAGGTAGAACGGATGAGAGTGGCTAAAGCCAGCGGCACACGATACTTTTTTCTTCCTGGATTGCTTGCGTTTTAGTAAATTATTAGAATTGCAACACACAGAACGCAGAAGTTCGAACAAGTTACTAAAACGCAAGCAATCCAGTAGGAAAACATGCATCGTATGCCGCAGACTTAAGTGACTATTTGCGATTTTGGAGGTGACTAGTTTTTTATGTCAAAGATTTTAATTTATGGTCATATTGAGTGACTATAAAGCAGTACTTAAATATTATTTTGTTATGTTGTACTTCTTGGGAAGGAATGTACAGCTTTAAACATTTCAGATATTTAAGTAATATTAGAGAAATGAAAATCTATTTTCTATTCTCAATCTTGATTGAAGACTCCAAAGAATAAATCATGGAAAGGTAGAAAATCAATGCGAGCCAGCACAGGTTGTTGGTGTGCAAGAATACTATATATTTCGGAATGGAATAAAATTACAGACGTTTGTATATTGCAAATAATAATGTAATTTGTTTGAGTATTCAGTTAAATACGACAGACAAGTTTTATATTTATTATATTGACAAAATAGTAAGCGGTCAGTACATATTTAAATTTGAACAATTGAATTTTTTCAAAAATTACATTGAAGATGATCCAATAATAAGCGTCGAAACGTCTTTTCTATTGTTCTCTGAATCAGAAGTTTGAAAATGAACTACAGAACAAAGTACATTTTATTAAAGTACATTTTATTAAAGTATATTTTATTCTTTATATTATTAGGTATATTTTTCTAAGAGTGATCAAAAATACTATGTAGAAATGTATTCTTACTAAAACAAATTTTATATATGTCTCTAAGTTTTATATATGTGGTATAGATTAAATTTCGTCCGTTATGACGTCAGGGAGATCAATTCATCGACCCGAATGGTTATGGCCTAATTCAAGATGTCTTGCACAGAAAAAAAGAGATCAATCTTGTTCGAAAATTTGTTGTGAAAATACGAAAACTAATTGGGTATTAATGGCCGTTATATGTGTGTATGTTTCGAATAAAAAACTAATCTTTTTTTAAAAAGAGAAACTTTTTGGGGGGAGTATGGATATAATATTTTATATAATTTTATGTAAAATAAAGATTCTTAATATTGATTTTATATAATATATTTATAATATACATATACCACTTTAAGATCAGATACGATCAAAATAAACCGCAGAGAGGTATTATTGTTTCGTGAGAATTTAATTAACGATAACTGATTAATAATATATGATCCATATACATTAATTTACCTCTCCGGTTTCGAGAAGATAGATGTTTTTCCATCAAGATCGTTTCTAGCTATTTTATTGTTTATTTTTTATTTGTTTCATATATTATGCAGCTCTGCAAATTACTTTTAACAACTTTATGCAAAACGTGTATTCTATTTCAATGTTGCACTTCTCAATATTTATCTGTACGAATATTGCATTTATAATTTATTGTGGTAAATTGAAATGACCTCTGATGCTTTTAGATTGCATATAAAACGATGGATTTTGAAAGTTTGTCTTTTGTAGAGCGTTTTTGAGTTACATCAATTGCATTGGAACGTAAATTGATGGGGAAAATCGATGAATGTTATAATGTCGAAGTAGGACGCTGGAAATAACTCGCAATATAATTCAGTACTTTAGAACAATCACATATTGTATTACGTGGTACGGTAATATATAGTAATTTTTGATTTTTATTCGCTTTTGTCTGTAAAATTTTATTTCAACGAAATGGAATTACGAAACTGATGTTGAAAACGATATAAAGTCTTTATCTAATATGGTTACAGATAAATATGTAGTTGCATACACAGATAGAACGGTTTTGTTAAAGTATCCAAAAATTTAGCTAAACAGATTTGAAAATAATTTTGTTAGGCCATCAAAATAATTATATAGACCGCTTAAGCATTAATGACACTGTTGCAAGAAATTTTAACATTCTAGCTACTCTATTCTGAACACTACAGAATTATTTTGATGATCTAAACAAAATTATTTTTAGATCTCTGCATTTAAGGGTGCATTTGTTTCTCACGAAAACAAGGCTAAATGATGCATTATGCACATTATGCGTGAAACAGAATGCACCTTTATTTAAATTTTGAGATTCCTCAATATATAATATATTTTTTCTGTCTCATTATTAACGAAAAATTGTCGATATAATACTAATGTGTTTTATGTAGTATATATATATATATTATATATATATATATATATATATATATATAATATATATGTATAAAAAAATGAACTTTAGTGTACAGAAAGAAACAATCGAGCGAATATTCGGTTAAGTTTTCAGTTCAGAGTACTTTCTATCTTCTCTCTTCAACGAGGGAGATAACAAGAATGATTTCGTAGGAAATTAGTGTCTCATTAACATCTCGGTAACTAAAGCAAAATGACTTGCCTTATCGCCAAGTTTTCATCTTACAAAATGAGCGTCAAAGAATTATATCTGATTGTGATTCAACACGCGGTTGTAATAGCTATCCCTGATATTATTTCTTTTCTCGTGAATAAGAAAATAGCTTGTTATTCTTTTTATTCTGACAGAATTATTTATTTGACTCAAATAAATTATTCGAGATTGCGTTGTAAGCAAGATTATTCTTGAGTATTAATCTTCAAGAAATTTTCGCGATTAACTGCAGTTCAGAAAACTATATTTTTTAACTTTCTCATTAAAAATTTCTCTTTACAATGTTATTTAATTATTACATATTATAATTAATTACGATATACGAGTAGAAAATTTTAAACGGAAATATAAATTATAATTTAAAAAGAAATAAATATTATACAGGAATGAAGTATGAAATAGAGAGTGATTATCATTTTTTATTTTACATATTTCATTCCAACATGTTATCTCGAAAATTTAACCTCTCAGGAAATACAGAAGCTATGGAAAGATCTCACGAGTTTATCTCTCTCGAATTCTGTCAATATTTTTATTCATCGTACGCCAATAGAGTACAAGATGCATCGTCGCTCTCTTGTTACCCGATTTGAATCGGTGTGTATCTTGCGAGAATCGGGTCCCTCGTAAGGGTTTCCTCGGTCGCGATGTCACGGAGACATCAATATCGAATTTCACGTCTGTCTCAAACCGAACTCGAAATGTTCTCTCGAGAGACTTTCGAATGCTTGGAGATCTCGGATATACGATCGGTGTTTCCCTCCTTATACACGCAGGTGTCTAAGATTCTCGCGTACATATGACGTTTATCTTGTTCCTTGTAATATTCCATGTGGAGCGGTTCCGAGGCAGTGTGTCACTCAAATGATATAATTCCAAAAAAAAACCGAGAACAGACATGTTCTCTGCCGTATATCATAACATTTTCAAGGTTTCTCTTTAAATAGAATAACATTTAGACTATATAGGATAATCCTCTTTTTCCGTCAACTATTAGCATAAATCAATTATATTCTGTTTAGAGAAAGAAATATGCATATATTTCATAGAAATTTTGCAAAAGTTCGTTAAATTTAGTACGAAATGTGCAATGAGAGATATATAAATATTGGAGTGACGTATAAAGTATATACAAATAAGATATAATATGTTAGAATATAAATGTATTATTATTCAGGGGGTTAAAAGAAATATTTTTTTGCTTTGAAAACATTGGGATCGTATAAGACATATACGAAGGGATGAGATAAATCTTCGCTTTACAATTGGGGTTTTCAGGCGAAATTTTAAATATACTTTTTCTTTCTTTTCGCGAAAGACCTTTTCTTTTCAGTCAAGAACAACCGAGGAAGAAGATCGTAAAAATGTTCTGCTTCTCCAGTGCAGAGTACCTACATTTGTAATCGGGCTTCTGCCGGAAACATTCCTCCACGAATCGGTTTTAACTCCAGCAATCTTGTACTTATACGAACGAACTAATTATACACATAGACAGACAACGTTACTCGTGCATGTGTTTGTGCAAGAGATTGCAAACTTCGTTGCCAGTTCCGGTTTGAACTTCCTGAATTTGTAGTTGGTTTGCTCCGAGGTTTGCTCCCTGCAGTGATGCATTTAACCACGATTTTTGATTATTTGCGATTTTCACGATTAAATTTTTATTACATTGATAGAAATGTGCAACATCTCTGATATTTTTCAGAATGTCATTTATGTAAACCTCCAAATTATTATTCAATGTTCTATATGATGTGAATACGAAATTAGATATGCAACAATCTATTCTTTGCTTGTCGAATCAACGTGATTCGCGCATTTTCCGTAACGCCTGCTTCTAATGATATTTTCCCCTTCTTTGTCGATTTTGATGCTGAAAGTCAAATTTCATCCAAGCGCCCGCTGTGAAATCCGTCACGATGAGTCAGACATGCAGCGAGAACGTGCGCGGAAATAACGTTCATTATGCTAACGAATGCTAATGTCAACCGGAACGACAGACAGGCGAAAACGGAAGAATATTCGCACAAAGTTCGAACTGTCGTTGGTGTGGTAGCAGGGTCTGCGCTCCATATGAGAATCGTTCGTCCGTTTGCGGTTCACTGAGAACGTAATGCGACAAATTCTATCCGTGGAAAGAAATTGCGACGACAGGGAACAAAGAAAGAGTTCTTCTTTTCCGTCCGCCGTCGCACGTAAATGCAATATTTTAACGACGCGACAAATGTCCTTTAACAATTCTTTCGCGACTGACTTTTCGCAATCTCCGCGTCTGCCTTAAATCAAATGGAGCATTCTATTCGCCTTTCTTCTTGGGATCACTCGGTAACGTACATCCAACTTGTCTCGAATACTCTACAATGATTTCTTTGAGTCGTTTTGTCAAGATCACTTGATCCTTGACTTGCTGTATCAGTCGATCTTTCTTCGCCTCTAAGTCATTGAGCTCCTGAATTTTCAGCTGCTCAGCGATGCGCGATCTCTCTCCAGCCTTTCGTGTCTCATATATAAGTACACTCCCCAAAAATCCAAAGACTAATACCTGAGGGATTAAATGAATTCGAATTTTATTTTGCGAAATGCAACCGAAAAAAATTAGCATTTCAATGCGAGTAATATCATAATTGCTATCTTTACCTCGAGTAGTAGTGTCGTTCCTACTTCCATTGTGTGATCGTCGTCAACGGGTCTTTTTTTTGCTATAACTGAAATCTGTCGCCACTTTATCATATCTTCACATAAATAATAAAAACGTCCCAATTGAATCAGAACGTATTTTCTTAAAAGCGGCCGTTTCTTCACACGTTTTACTATCGCCTTTGACAATGGCTGCGTGATTTGTCTTAGGAGCTGTCCAATAAGATTCGCACCGGGAAACCCTTGCACTGCCATAGTTATATGCGTCCATCTCATCAAAGGAAATAATTTAATAAAACTTCCCTGTGAACGCCATTTGCGAATAATGAATTTTTAACTCGCTGAAATATTATTATTCTTGAGAGAAAATACTAATTCATTTTATTTACATTTTGATATAAAGAAAATTATAATTAGGGTTAAGTTATTCGTTTTCCACATTATATGAAAATGTGACAGCTTTTGAATTTATTCGTTTGTTACAATAATAAAAACCCTTAACCTTATACTTTCACAACATCTTTTCATTTTTTATTATATCATTTGCTTTCATGTTTTTATTATTAAAATTTATTAGAATTATGCAATGCTGCACGCATGATTTTTCTTTGAATTAAATTATGATTAGAAGAAAACTAATAAATTGAAATTACGTGATCTACATTTTAATTTTCATGTTTACGATTACAAACAAATTTATTGATTCAAAAATGTTTCTCTCTCTCTTTTATATTAGTAAGCTTCTTTTATAAAATGAATTCCAACATAAACATAATTTAGATAGGATCGTAGTATAACGCACATGATATAATTTTTTTTTCGTGAAATAACATGATGGTTTGGCGTTTCCCCCCCCCCCTTAATTAAATTTTAATATATAATCCTCATAAGAAATATGACAGGCGAATATTTTCGGAACGGTCCAAGTTACCATTTTGAATATCTACATTTTATGCTAGAGGAAACTATAATGTGTGTCTCTTCCATATCGACCAAATGGCTAAACGGATTATATCCATCTATATGTCAAAAATCACAGAGCTGACCCGTTGTGCGGTATACAATGGTAGGTCGCAATCACTTCCGATTGGAAAGTAATAACCGCATAGCTCTTTTGAAAATTCATCAAGGTGAAGTATCATTTTAGCAGCGTGCAAAATACATACATTTTAAATGACGGTGAAATAGAAATATTAATTTTATTATTGAGAAAAAAATTTTTAGAATAAAACAAAATCTTGGAAAAAATTTTAATATTGCCGCGTAATTAATTACGTACATTAATTACGAATGAATTAGTCATATATGCATGCGTATATATATATATTTTTCAATATGTGTAATTATATATCTATTACCTTTAATATACATTTAGAAATTTAGATTGTATGTAAAGTTATATTTTGCTATATATTTATTAATTTAATTATTCGAATCTATCCGATTGACTTCCATGTTTGAAGAGGAGTAATTCTTTAAAATAACATTTTTTTAATTTTAAATTTTATTAAATTTTATTTTTTAATTTTATAAATGTCAATTTGTCAATTTGTTTAATTAATTACAGAAAAAACATATTTGTAAAAAATTTTGTGTTGAAACGTCAGATATAACGCATAGATTTGAATTCAATTTTGTTAAATATATATGATAATTTAATCACATAAATTTCTTTTTCTCTCTCTTTCATTTGTCTCCTATTAAAAACGTGCTTTAAATGCGCTTTGTGACACTGCATATTGACCTATATACATACATACATAAAATAAAAACACGTGATGACATAAGACAATGTTTAGATCGAGAATTTGTTTGATTGTCGGGGCGACGTTTTTCCCCCTAGTTTGATATAACATTTTCATCCATTTCCCTTGTGTCTCGATATCATCTGGTAGGATTTACCGACGAAATCGAATCCACTGAAATGACGCAGTCGAGGTATAAGCCGTCATCCGTCGCCGAGATCCACTAGATTGTCGCGAAGGTACGAACCGCACATGATCTCTCGCGAGAAAATCCAGAATTTTCCCCTTATACGTACCAATCCTCTTTACATGGAATACGCTTTCCATGATCTTGTAAATAATGTTCGATAGAATTTCTAGAAATATAACTATTAGTCACCAATTTAACTAGGATTTGACTGACAAGAATATAGTAATATCATAGTAATTATCTTAATTTTACACTTTTTGTTGTGCAATAAAATTTAATATATGTTAGCGAGACAGAGATATAAAAATGAAAAGGTAAAAAAAAGTTGCTACAAAAAAATTGTATTTCGTCCTTTGGAGAGTCACATTAACGTAACTATATGACTTTTTTATTTGAATACATTTAGTTATATATATGAAACGGACATGTATAAAGTATGTATATGTAAATTAATATGTCACCATGATGAGAACTTCCCTATTTTTTAAAATGTTTTATTACTTATAATTAGTATGTGTGACAATTAGTATATGTCATATATTTCTTTTTAAATTGAAAAAAAAATATATATATAATTCTTTAAATAATTATATTTGTTCCATATTTTTTAAAGATTTTATCTTTAAATCTATTCGTTTTTTTTAGAGTTTAGATTTGATTATATATTGGATTTTTTTATGCAGCTACACTGTTAAATTTTATAGGATCAAATTAACTAAATGTGAGTCGCCACTGCTCCTACTAAATTTATCGTTATTTTTAACTAAAATGATAGTTAAATTTGACACTATATAATATTAAATTGATACTGTATAGTGTCAAATATAACCATTGTTTTAGTAAAAAATAATGATATTATTGAATAGGAGCAGCGGCGACTCACATTTAGTTAACTTGATCCTATAAAATTTAACAGTGTATATTTCCCGAAAAATGTAGAAAACAGAGATACAATTAGACATTTATTGATTAAATAAGAAAAAAGAGATTATATTAAATATTAAGTACTTTCCAGACAAATGATAATTGGATATAGGAAAGTAAAATTGTCTCTCGGCTCCACTTGGTTAGAGGAGATACATGTATCTCGGTTACATATCTAGGGAATGAAATGTCTGTTCCATCTTCAACACGATATGGATCGGTCTTTCGGGACTCGATTTTGGCACGCCACTTCTTTTCTAACCAACGATCCTTGATTCTCTCTCTCTCTCTCTCTCTCTCTCTGTTTCTTTCTCTCTTTTTCTCTCTTAAATTGACCGACTCGATGAACGATTTCATAGTTCTCTCAGCCACCCCTTGAGGTATCCTTTCACTTTTACCCCGCAATCGATCCGACCTACGCCCCTATGTATGGCTATTTGCGGGGCCCGCGTGCGGGACAGAAAAGAAGAATCTCTATGTGCACGTGTGCACTACTCCGTGACATTTCAAAGTTCATAGTTCATTATAGAAATGTTGACGAATGATATTAATTTTTGAATAATAAATGATTGAATTTAATAATTAATTTAATAAATAGATCGATTTTAAATAGTATAAATAAACTATTTCTGGAAGGAAGAAGAGAGAGAAAGAAAGAATTTTATTTTATTAACACGCTGTTGAGATTCTTTGAGTTTAAAGTATTGTATTTATTGAGTTGTTGATATTTTCATAATAACTTTTAAAATAGTATCTCTATATTTTGAAATATAATATAATCGCTGTATGAATTTGGTGATTTTCATAAGAGAATAATAGATATTTTTGGTGGAGAGATGGACAATGTTTGAAACTTGTTTCGCGTGATGCTTGATGCAATTATATTGCATTTGCATATTTGCATTTTATTCAGTTAATCTCAATTTCATATATGGTGATGTCATTTTGTCAGCAGTTTGCATGGGTAGAAAATAAAAAATAATCCTTTTGTGATCCTTTTGAAAGGAAATATTTGTAAAATGTCGATTACACGGTATCCATAATAAACTTCTTTTTTTCACGGAATTGCATAACTACAATTAAGATCATAGAATGCGTACACTTCTTTCGATCACTTTAATTTAAATGTATATCGGATCATCATCATCATCATCATCGCTTTTACCATCGACCATTTGAAATCTCCGTATTCAAGAGCATCAAATAACAGCCGCCATTAAAAGTGTCGATACGCAATTTCCTGCGAAAACACGTCGCCGATGCCGACGCCGCGCGTTAGGAAAATCGGCGGGGAAATATCGGAAAATGTCGACGAGGTCGGCAGGCGAGGTGTAGGCGAAGAGGCAGGACAGCGGAATGGAAGGACGCTCGTTCCAGGAGCACTTCTCCCGTCCGTCGTGACCGCATGGAAGGCAAAGAAAAAAAAAGATGCCTATTTATAAACCATTAGCGGAGAATGAAGTTTAATCAGGCTCACGACACCCCTCGCTCTGCCTCTATTTATTGCTCCTCGGTTGATCAATACATTAAATGTTAGGATATCGCTATCGCTGTCTCGTTTGAGTCGGAGAAGATTTTGGTTGATCGCCGATTAAAACTTTTCCTCTACGCGAATTACGCTGGTAACCTTTTATTTTTATTTTTTTTTAATAGTGCGTCATCATTCACATCCTTCTTTTTCTGTTTCTTTTTCTTTGATTTTTCCGTCGCATATTAATCCAAGAATAAAGATTCCACGCACTAGTTCTCTCAATAAACGATTAATATTTGTTTACTGGATGTAGTTTTTAAGTCACAAAACATGCTTGATATTTATTTCTAAACGTGGATATTTTGGGGTGACTATCTTGGTCCCATCCTATAAACTCTCTGTAGTTATTTAAAAGAAGGGAGAGGAATGCCAGAGGTCCATGATTTACCGCTAAATATACCTGACACTTTCCCCATAACGAGAGAGCGCATTCTATGTATCAGACAAGTAAAATTCCAAAATAACTGTACAAATAAATTCTTGGTTAACTAAGATAATTTTAAAAAACTGTAATTGAGGTTAAAATACTTTCGAGGGAGATCATTTGTAGCTTACGCAACGGAAATTGATAATATATTATAAATGATTTCGAGAATACAATTAAAGACAATTGGAGCAATATAAATGTTTTATCTTTTATATTATTTCATAATTTTTTATAAATAAGTGAATATATTTCTGTTTTACCTTACTTCTTCCATAACAATATGTAGTTATATTTAAATTACGTTTTATCATTATGTCACGTTATACTATATTTGTATTTGATCCAGCTCTGTACCGCCGTTTAATTTATATTTAGACACACTAGCGTGATAGAGAATAGTGCTCCCTGTTAGTTTCAATTAGGATCAGCCTCATGTATTATGTGCATAAACGGAAATACATACCAAAATATAGGGATAGTTTTAGCACGATGGGTTCATTTGCATAACGAATTAAATAGGGGAAGCAGCGTGCGTGATATTACTAAAACTGTATAGAGTGGGGGTAGAATCTTGCGTTTATAAGTTATATGATATTATCTAATCAAAATATAGATAAAGATCTAAATGAAAGTTTTTCGGTAATGTAAA